TGACTCTTCCAAACTGCTGCCAAGCATTTAAGACAAATGCCCTTATCTTATACTCTTCCTGTATAAATATTTTGTGTTTGTTTTAGAATGGTTGTTTAATTAAAAGATTTAGTAGAAAATACAGCCCTTCAGATTCTGACTTGTTTTGAAGGAATGAGGTATTTCAGATTTATACCATAATGCTGACTTTAATGCTCTGACCTAATTAGTTCTGGGAAGAACTGAAGACCAGCTATCAAAATGCCTATCTAGACTGGAAAGAGCTTTTCTCTTGAGCGCTGGTGGAAAACTTCTCTTCTTCTCATTAATATTTTATTTGCAATGGAGTCCTGTTGACCTCTACCTCAGGCACACTCTGATGCTGGGCTGAGTGTAAGAGACTTAATTGGATGCTAATCTGTGGAACCTGGGCTCTGGACAGAGAAAGCACAGCAGGTACCAGCATCCCCTCTTAGAAAAGAGCCTCCAGAGGTTTTGAAGAACTTTAGGACAAAAAGAAAATAACTCTTGCCTCGGGATTTCTTCTACCAGGTGAGAGGCCCTGGACCTGAACAGAGTTCCAGAATGATAACTGAAAAAGTGTGGAAATCCTTGATGGACCTCTATGAGTGGCTCCCAAATGTGTCTAGAAGAGCCCCACAAAGCTGGCTTCACTACCGGGATAGAGAAGAATGCTCCTCTGTACTTGGGTGATAGCATGGGGATTCTCAGCTTGTCTGAACTCATAGCAGGGGTGAAACTGAAGCTTTGAGATGGAGCCCGGGCCCAGCAGATGTCACTGAGTCCTGCTCTGTCAGGCTGGCCAGTTGCCTTTTCTGGGTTTCTGGCATCTGCATCAAAAATCAATGACACAAGGTCAACATTAAAATCTGCCATAGGATGTTGATAAAGAATCGATAGATGGCAATGATTGTTTTTTTATCTGCTTAGTATTTACTTCATTAGTCAAAATTGTTGATCCCCGCCCCCAGAAATCTGCCATGTGAATTGTAGCAGTGGTGTTTTTAGAGTGAGCAGAGACTTTAGAGAACTTTTCATTATAGTAAGTAAGCATGTAAGCTCAAGTGTCTCTCTTGAAGGAAGACCAGAAACTAACATTTAATGGACAGTACCAGTCTGTGCTGGGCACTTTGATTTACACTGTTTAATTCATGTACTAATGCTGCAAAACATGGTCTCTGGGGTAGCATAGTGATTATGAGTTAGCCGATGATGAGGCTTTCTGCTCCCCTAAAGATTTACAGCCTCAGAAACCATATGCAGGATCGCTATGAGTCAAAACTGACTCTGCCGGCACATATCCACCAACATGGATGGTGTGACACCGTGCGATAAAGCACAAACTTGGTGGTTCAAAATGACCAGCTGCTCCTCGGAAACCTTATACACGGTTGCTATAATTCGGAACCTACTGTATGGCACTTAACAACACCACCACCAACATAGCTGAGAAGGCAGATTTAGAGAAACTTAGGCAACTTGCCAAAGGTTACACAATAAATCAGGATTTGAACCCAGGCCTTTCTGCCATTGGGGTCCATACACCACTGTGCTATATTGAGAAGCAGTACAGGAGAGGTAAGAGCACAGATCCTAAAGGCTAATTGCCAGGGTTCTGATTCTGACTCACATGTTAGCTGTATGACCTTAGTTAGCTTACTTAGCTTCTCGATGCCTCAGTTTCCTCATCTGTAAAGTGAGAGTTATAATAGAATCTACCTCATAGAGTTTCTGTGAGCATAAAATGAAACAATACATTTTTAAAAATAGATCAGAGCGTGGCACACAGTCAGCAGTCAATAAATGCTAGTTGATGTTACAAAGGTATTTCCAGAAGCTTCTCTGAGATTAGCTCAATTGATGAATGAGTATTGTACTGGCTAACTCAGAGTGTAACTAACCTAGCACAGCCCTTAGCCACCATTTGGACAAAACAAGCTCAGGGTAAATGTTGTACTAGTAGAACACCTAAGCATCTTTTTTTTTTTTTAATGCTTTATTGTGAGTTATAGTTTACATGGGAGAACATTAGCTTCACATTGATCCCATTGTGTATTGTTTCCTTGTCATGGTTACAGTCCCCTCCACGCATCATCTACCAACCACAGGGTATACCCCGCAGCCCCATCTTCCTCTCCAGGTCCATCTCTCCACGTCATCACCTCTGCCTCCATCTCTGGCATCACTGCTTCTCTGGGTATAGTTCCATTCTCCGCTCTTCTCCCTTGATGGTCCCAGGGACCTCTGCTCCTAGACTGCAAGGTTAGTCTCTCCCCTCCCTTTGCTACAAAATGTCTACCTTTACATTCCCAGCCCTTACAGTCAGTCCTGATACCAATTATTCACCATTGTATCCCAAGAGACCTATCTGCATCTCCTTTCCTCAGCCCCGTTTAGACAGATTGGCTACTACTCAGTGGAGATTCTACCTTGCTCCACGCCCTCTGGATCTAGGTTCCCTCTTGAAAGTTTGTAAGCCAGTCACTTCTTGCCTCTGTAGTCCCCCTCCTCTCCATTTTGAGTAGCCAATGTCCAAGTTGCCCATCCCTGTCCTCTCCGTGTGTGGAGGGAGTGGGAATGATCCTCGCTGTGAAGATTTGTTCCCTTTTGAGCTACTGCTTCCATAGGTGTAGGTCAAGTTCATCAAATTGTATCAGATTATTCTTTTTTTCCTCTTCTTTCTTCTGATTGAGCTCTGACCATCCAGCCATTGAAGCCTGGTCAAGTGGGTATTATCTACAAGTGTGGGTGTTCTTATGCATATGCCCTCTCTTCTTATCAGCTGGACGCTACACTCTCCACTCTAGTCCTTTGTGGCTATGTCACTGACTCTGGGCCCAAAAGTCCCCAGGTTTTGCCACACTGCTGGCCAGCCAGGTCTCCAGCAGGGTTCACAGGAGTCTATTGAACGTTGTAGGGCTTACCTAGCAGCTTCATTTCTGCTTTTCCCTCACTTCCTCTTATCGGTGACAAATGTGGTCACCAATCAGAGCGTGTATTCCTTATTGGGTCTTAGTCTTAGAAGGAGGTTTGCCCTGAGGGGACCTGACCACTTGCCTTGATGTCTCCTGGGTGAGCCACTTGTTTGTTCTTGTAGTAATCAGTGATCTGCCTGTATTGTTTGGCATTTTTCCTGTCAGTCTTTCTTTCAAGAAGTATCTTCGTTCCTTCTGGCCGCTCCAAGCTGGACTGCTAAGCATCATTTTTGTATAAAACGTGCTCGATCCCTTTGTGCTAATAAGCTGTGGAAACTGTTTGGAGCCCAGGCCTGATTTTTCATAGTGGCGGTTTCAGTACACTCTTAACATTGGGTATGACTTTGGTCCCTTTGGGATTTCACTGGATGGATAATAAGTACCACATCCCTGGGGAGCTAGAGACTGAAGTGATTTAAGGATCCACTTTTCTTTTGTTTATCAGATCTGGCCCCACTGCTTTGAAGGAGACGTACTTGTCCTCTTAGAACTCAGCCAGGCGCCTGGGATTCGACTCTAGGTTAATTATTAATAGTAAGGGACGTTTCCATGACGATTTATAGTTCCGAGAGCTTATCACACATTTATTAGAGTAGTATTCCAGAAGCTGTCAAGTATAAGAATCCTGTGATGTGCTAGTTGATTCTCACACTCTAGATGCATAGACTGTGATTCAGTAGGTCTAGGTTTTGCCCTAGGAATCTGCATTGTCACTATCACTTGTGAACACTTTGTATTCCATACATCTAGGAAAGTTAAAGGGGTAACAAAAAGACTAATTGAATGGAAAAAGAAATAGGGTTACATATTTTTTTGAGATGTTAAATTATTCTCTTTGTCTCCATATGGGGTGGTGGTGGTGTGCTATGGAGTGGTTCTGACTCATAGCTACCCTGTATAGGGTTTCTGAGGCTATAAATCTTTATGGGAGCAGAAAGCCTCATCTTTCTCCCATGGAACAGCTGGTAGTTTTAAACTGCTGACCTTGAGGCACATCACCACCACCACTAATTTCTTCACAGCACTTAACAACTTATAGATATCCTTCGATACAAACTTATCTTTCACAACACTGGTACAAAGCAGTGTGTGAGTGTTTTCTATGTTCTCTCTCTCTGAATCATGCCTTCTGATCTCCCACCTGGATGTATCAATTCACTTCCTCTAAGGAACTCTGATAATGTAGTGGTTATGAGTTGGGCAGCGAACCTCAAAGTCAGCAGTTCAAAACTACCAGCTGTTCCGCTGGAGAAAGATAAGGCTTTCTGCCCCCATAAAAATTTATAGCCTTAGAAACCTAAACAGGGTTGCTATGGGTTGGAACCAATGGCACTTAACAACAACAACATCTGTAGATTAATTTAACCCAGATCTTAGAAAATCAAAACTGGATGAAATTTGTAAAGAAAAACAGATTAAGACTGGTTGGTATCAGGACTGACTGTGAGGGTTGGAAATGTAAAGATAGACATTTTGTAGCAAAACAAAGGGAGTGGTTGACTTTGCAGTCCAGGAATAGAGGTCCCTGGAACCATCAAGGGAGCAGAGTGGAGAGCGGGACCCTATCCAGAGAAGCAGTGACACCAGAGATGGGGGCAGAAATGATGACGTGGAGAGAGGGAGTGGTTAGGGACTCTAGACCCAGAGAGGGAGAGGGGCTGTGTGCTGACGACTTGGGGGCAGGCTTGCAGGGTATACCCTTTGGTTGGTTGATGATGCATGGAGGAGATTGTAACCACGGCAATAAAACGATATACGATAGGATGAATGTAAAGCTAATGTTCTCCCATGTAAACTATCACATAATTCACAGTAAAACATTAAGAAAAAAAAAAGATTGGTTGGGCAGAGGTGATGATGATGGTTGGACAGGTGGATATTTTTGCTATATATGCCCAAGGCAGTAAGTATATGCTTAGCAGGGCTGGTGGCCTTTGCCTGTAGTCCTTTCTGCCAGCCTTCCCATGACACTAGTTCTTCTCTGTTTCCTGCAGTTTTCACCTTTTCTTCTTCTATAAGCTGTGACCATGACCCTGACAAAAGGCTCCTTCATCTACTCCAGTGGGGAGGAATATCGTGGCGAATGGAAAGAGGGTGAGAAAGACCGCTGAGGGGCTGGGGGAGCTGGTGATGAACTCTCCACTTGGCTGAAGGATCAATACATCAGGATATATACGTCAGCTGTATAGGTCTTGGTTTCCAATACAGGATTTCATTCCAACTATTCTACTTAAGGATGAAATAAAAGAATTAGAAAGTTCTATTGTCAGTCTGACCTCCAGGAATGAGTTAATCTTTCTATTTCTAACTTTGAAGTGATTTAGTATCCTTGAGTGGTGTTATTAGGGGATATTTTAATAAATGTTACTGTACCCAGCAAAATAAAAATGAATTAAATAATTTATGTGTACATAAATTGGGGGGAATGCAAAATTCATTGCAATGACTTGGTTCAGGTAAATGTTAAGGAGTGAAGGGAGATCTGGAAATTACGGCAGACACTCAAGGGCCAATGATGCTCAGTGCTTCAATTTCCTGTGACAGACAGCTCATTACATTTAGAGGTACCTCTTCATAGAATTGGAACAAAGTTCTTCAGAGCCCGAGACTATACAAGAAGCACTTTGATGATGGTCACTTTGGGAACACACAATCTGACCCTATACAGTCTCTTGGGTCCAGTCCTAGTAAGCCGGGAGACTTGACTCGCCACAGTTTTGTAGATGAAGAGCAGCTCAAGCTTTGACCAGACGTGCACCTCATTCCTATCACATCAGAACCTTGCAGCTGACGATTCCCTAGCTTTAACAGGAGAAATTGTGCAGTATTATGTGGACTTGTCTCCGTATATCCCAAGCCTTTCCTCTTGCCTCTAAATACCTGCTGACCCCTTTAATATATCTTTTTAGATGAGATATTTCCTTAGGCTCTCTGGGGCTGTCTGTCTACCAAAAGAACTCCCTCGCACTCTATTTCAAGAGCATCATTGCTCCTCCATTGCCTTGCTGTGTTTTCTGGTCAGTTCAGCGGGTGAATCCAGTCCTACTGATATAGCAAAACTCAAGTCAAGCTGTTAGGTTTGCCCAGTGGCTTCATGGTGCTAAGAGGCACTTTTATTATGCCTCAGAGGCAATGTTGCACCATCAGCATCAAGGCTACCTATGTTTGTATTCTGGCTCTGCCATTTAGTAATTCTGTGATATTAAGTAAATTATTTTAGCATCTTCTTGCCTTGGTTTCCTCATCAGTAAGACAGAAACAATAACAGAACTATACCAACATCTTAAGGTTGTCATACGGATTAAATAAGATGATAAATACAAAGTACTTAGAAGAGAGCTTGACACACCTTGAAGCCTGTGTGAAGGTTATTATAATGTTTACGTGCTCTCTCACCTTTTGAACTTGGAAGGACCTTCTCTAAACCTGATGGTTGTATCCTAAGGTTCCGGGAACCAGGTTCTCTAGGTCAGTGACTCAGGGTAATAGTTCTCTGCCCTGTTAATGTTACTGCGCTTCTCTTCTTTCCTCCATGGGTGGGGTGACGGAAGGTAAGTGATGGTGTATGACTGAGAGGGTACCTTGAAGCCATTCCAGCCTGACACTTGTCTTTCTCTTTGCTTAGGTCGGAGACATGGTTTTGGTCAACTGATGTTTGCAGATGGTGGCACTTACCTGGGTCATTTTGAGAATGGGCTGTTTAATGGCTTTGGAGTACTGGCCTTCTCAGATGGCTCAAGGTGGGTATTGGATCATTCCTTTCTCAGTTTTAAGCTAGAGAGGCTCTGATGAAAAAATCAACAGTGATAGGTATCTGGTTAACCCTAGCTTGTCTTACACTCTGCAGAAAGCAAGACTATTACTTTTTAAGTAGATCTAAACTTTGAAATGGTGAGGAGGTGGGTGACCTCCCACCCACCACACGCCCATGCTCCTGTGTTCTTGCCTTGACCTCTGGGCCTCATATCACACATATTCTGCCCCTTCTGTGTTGGTTGGAAGTGGAGTGGGAGGGGGACTGGAGCTCTGAGACAAGTGGGATCCACTTTGCTCTTCAGTGTTCTTAGCTTGGCAGCTCCTTGACTCTGCGAGCCTGGTCAGGTAACACCCCACCGTCCCAAAAAGGCTAACTGTCGGTATTTCTGCAGGTATGAGGGCGAGTTTGCTCAGGGCAAATTCAATGGTGTTGGAGTCTTCATTCGGCACGACAACATGACCTTTGAAGGAGAGTTTAAAAATGGCCGAGTAGATGGTTTTGGTAAGTTGCAGCCCTGCAGGGTGTCCCAGCAGCCCAGTGGCTGTGCCCTCATGCCCTGGACACTGAACTCCCGACAGACAGAGTGCCCCTGAACAAATCTTTCTCTCTCAGCCTCTCCATAGTGAGCTGCTCTCTGAGACCTTAATGTCATCAGCACGCCCCTGTTTTCTCTGTCCTCCTCTAAGGCCTGCTGACTTTCCCTGATGGTTCTCACGGAATACCCCGCAACGAAGGTCTGTTTGAGAATAATAAGCTACTGCGGCGTGAGAAGTGTTCGGCCGTGGTTCAGCGGGCCCAGAGTGCCTCCAAGTCCGCCAGGAACCTCACAGCCTGATGGGGCATGTGCAGCAGCTGGCGAGTCTTGGGTGAAACACATGCCCCAGGTATTCGTTCCAGGTGGATCGTGAGCCAGACCTGAGATAACCAAGACTGGAGCAGAAGCCCTGTGATGTGCCCTGTCACCCGTCCATCAGGGCTTAACGCCCAGGGAAGTTCTGAGGATTCTGACCCATAAACCCTGCAGCACTTGTTACCAGTTCTGTCTTTCCCTTTCTAAGTAGCTCTAACATGCCTGTGTGCCAGTGAACCGAGGTACTCTCTGGTCCTAAAACCTGGGATGACCCACTGCAGGCCTGCTGCCCGTCTATTGCATTTTCTGCCAAGTTATGCAGAATGTCTTCATCCTGCCTACATTTGGGACAGACGACCCTATTCCCAACTTTCAGCCAGTGCTGCCCTGGAAAAATAAATATATGGGGTGACTTGGTACCGAAGTTCTGTATGCTATCCCACATTTACTGCTGATTGGAGCCCTGGCCACAGGCTCTCTGCTTTGTCTGTCCAGGCTGCTATTTGTCTCTGCTGCTTCCCCCGTGAAAGGTCTATAGAGTGCTGTTCTCCCTGAACTTGATGAGATGTCTTCCTTGTCTGAGCTCAAGGAGAAAGTCTCCATCTGTGCCTCCTTCCTTAGATGCAGGGCAGGATCCCGCTATGGAGTAGTAAGAAAGAAAACAGCATAAAGAGTCATCTCACAACTTGAATTTATTACGTATTCCAGAGGAAAAGGCAGGCCTATCTGGGCCACTGCAGACCCTGCCAAGGAGGAGCCAAATACTTCGGGATGGCTTGGGCCCATACAGTTCCTTCCCAGTGGTCTAGTAGGTCAGACCAACCTCAGTAAGGAAAGAACCCTCAACTCCTTGGGGTTTCGGTAGGACTGGACCCATCCAAGGACTGCGGTGAACTGAAAGTGCTCTTGGCGTCTTGCACTGGACTCACTGAATGCATCTTTCCACCCTGAACCTTGGCCATCAGGCCTGGGGGTCAGATCTGGACAGGTAGGGCCCCCACATGTGCACCCCTGAGGCCTCTGAACGCTGCCCTCAGCCCTCAGTCCCCATTCTGAGTGTCTCTTCAACAGCACATGGTGGTGCCTCTGTTACTCTGAGTTATACTGTAGAAACAAGTGTTTATAAAGAATAAATTATCACCAGACTGCCTATACTTTGTTTTCTTGGCTTTCTCATGCTTCATCTTCATGAATATGAACCCATTTGCTTTTCTAAAAGTTAATAAGAGATTGGGGCTTCGTCCTGAGACTACCCGCTCTGCTACTTCAGTATCATCTAATTCTCACCCAAACTCTGCTGGTTAAAAAAACCAGACAGGCTCTGATTGCCCACACTAGTAAGTAGCAGAGCTGGGTAGGGTTTGTGGAGCTGTTCTGATTCCAAGGCATTTCTACAGAACTACTCTACAGAACCCGAGCACAGAGGGCCATGTTCTGAGACCGGCTAGTGTGCCATCTGCTGGGTTACTTTAGGCAGGTCACCTCCTGCTGCGGTTTTCCTTGCTCTGCAACAGTGATACTTCCCCAGATCAGCTCACCAGGAACACTTAACCTCCCACTCTGATTCTTTGATGATCCTGTTAGGTCCTGGCCACAGCCCTATGAGGAAACCCAGCCAAACCCAAGCCACTGCTCTCGAGTTGATATCAACTCATAGCAACCCTACAGAAAAAAGAGGAATGCTCCAGAAGGTTCCAGAGGCTGTAAATCTTTATGAGCGGACTGCCTCATCTTTCTCCCACAAGCTGTTTTCCTTGTGGTGGGGGGTTGGAACTGCCCTGTGAGCACTACGGGTGAGGCTCAGGGAAGTTGTTTGCCCAGAATCTCTGGAGGCTGCCTGTGAAAAGAGCCCAAATGCTAGTCTTTAGTGCACACAAGTGCCCAGTGTCAGTTGAAGATTTGAGAGTTTATTGTCATTTCTCCTCTAGCCTTTGTCTTAAATTAGGATGTATTTACCGCTCCTGGTGTGACACGATAGGATCAGCACTGGACTTCAAACCACAAGGTCAGCACTTCAGACCCACCAGTTGCTCCTCAGAAACCCTATACAGGGTCACTGCGAGTTGGACTTGACTCAACAGCACTTAACAAGAAGCTTTCTTTAGGAGAGCTGATGGTGCAGTGGTTAAGTGCTAGCTGCTAACCTAAAGGTCAATGGTTTGAACCCACCAGCTGCTCCACAGGAAGAAGTTGTGGCAGTCTGTTCCCATGTTTATAGCCTTGGAAACTGGGAGGCAGTTGTACTGTCTTACAGTGTCTGGATGAATCAGAATCCACTGAATAGCAACACGTTTAGTTCTGGTTTGGGAGGCTTTCTCTTTAGCCAAAAAAAATTTTTTTTTAATTTGTCTCTTCCTGGCACTAGTCACATCACTGAAAAGGGTTGGGAGAAAATGGCCCTTTTGATTAGGATGATAAATGTTTGTAAATATTTCAGTTGAATCTTTTTTTTTTTACCACTTCTTCCTTTCAAAACTTTGATAAGCCTGGTGTGGCGCTATGGGTTAATGCGCTGGACTGCAAGTTCGATTCGAACGGCAAGGTCAGTGGTTCAAGCTCACCAGCCACTCCTCGGAAACCCTATACAGAGTTGCTATGGGTTGGAACCCACTCGACGGCACTTAACAACAACAACAGGCTACCAGTAATGTGGTATCTAGGATTGACAGAACCTGTTTCAGAGCTAGTGCTCCGCAAAGCCGACCTTGAGAGCTGGAAGCGTTAGCTGGAAGGTTCTTAGCACCTGTGCAGGATACCCGGAGGGGCGGGCCCTGAGTCTGCACCGCAGCGTGTAAACAGCCACACTCGTTTTACTTAACTAAACTTTATTGCAGAAACAAAGTATCATTGACAATAAAGAGGATGGTCCTACTTCAGGCCAAATTACTGCTCCTGACCCAGGCTGGCTGGAGTAGGCTTCTAGACTATACCATTTAGCCACTAGGTGTCACTGTCCAGCCACTCCAGCAAGCCACTGGGCTGTCTTCATTGGTCAGGATCCAAGGCTAGAGATAAGACTCGGAGATGAGTGAAAGTAGATTTAAGAAAGGGTAGTGTGGCTGCAGTGCAGCTTGGGAATCTGTAAAGACCAATGACACTTTCCTGATCACGTTTTCTAACCTACATCTCTGGCAGAAGTCAGAAGGTGGATTCTGAGGAGTAGCCCTGGCTTCTTAGTTATACTGTGATGCTCATATTTGTGTTACCAAATCTTAACAGCCTTCCCTTTGGGAAAACAAACTTCCCTACTGTGCCCACCTGCCCAACCCTGCGCTTTCCCTCTGGCTTTTGGTTCCTGCATCTCAGGGGCTAGGAGAGTCTCCACAGTAGAGAGACGGATTGCTCTTCCCCACACTGAGGGGGGGTTCTAGAGACAGTGAACTGAAGACACAAAGATGAGAGACTAGGAGAAGTGAGATCTGGTGCTGATGACAGGTTGCCGGGAGGACTGGAGTGGGAAAGGAGCCTCGAGTCCCCACCCATCAGTGCTTCCCTCAAGGCTGGAGACTGAGATGGGCTCAGGCTGGGCCCATCCCCACCTCTCTCAGAGCCAACCATTGTTGGTGAAATCCATGCGCAGTGCCTCCTCCTCCATGGGACTCAGCTCCTGTAGGGGAGCACGACAGGGGCCTCCGTAGTAGCCAAACCACTCCATGGTTTTCTTCAGCCCTGGGATCCCAAAACGCCGGGTCACCTGAGAAGCAGGACCTATTAGAAGAGACTGGGCAATCCCCACTACAGACCCCTATCCGAGGCTCAGACATTTGTTACTTTCAGAAAGTTGGGGTTCCCATCCTCCTCCCCCCGTAAAGTTACTCTACCAAATCTACGACACCAAGGTGGACTGGGAATCTAGACTTAGGTACCAGGTTGTTAGAATGCAAAAGTCACGGATTCATGAAGTTAGGTTTAGGGGAAAAAATTCAGTCTATCAGAATGGGATCTTCCCTAGGTGCTAAAATATTACCAGCTCAGTTCCCTAGAACCTGGCCCAGAGCACATCAAGCCTAGGAAACAGAAGGGCCTGTGAGACCCTCAGACATAACTGAAGCCTCCTCTCCCCACACAGCTGGGCTTCCCCTGCACAAGCAGAGTTCCTCCCTGACTCCAGCTCTAAAAGTTCTCACAGGGATTTATTGCCCAAAGAGGTTTTGTTATGGAACTGTGTATCAACTAGTTTTCATCTCTGAGCAAGTTCCCTGGCCCCAAGATTGAAGAGGCTGAACAATGTGATCTCTACCGTCTTTCCCACTCTAACAACGTGATCTCCACAGTCTTTCCCATTGTAACGCAAGACTTACAGCTTAGTCATGATCTTAGTCATGCTTGGAGTTTTACAGACTAAATGAAGCTTCAAGTTTTTTTGGTTATTGCATGCTGACTGGAAATCTTAGATGAATCTTTGACTCCCTAAAAAACTAAGAAACCAATCAATACTTAATAAAGCCTTATTTGGAGAGAAGGTGGAACCTAAGAAGCGTGGATTTAATGAAAAGAAAAGAAGATTGATTAAGGTAAAATGTTCCGAGTAACTGATAGATAACTGACTAATGATTATCACCACTAGAGGTCAGCAGGCTTCAACAAGCATGGGACTTTTTCTCACAATGTGTGGTAAGCCACCCTCTTCCTAGGCCTAACCCCAAGTATGATGTTCTACTAAACTGGCCTTTTCACCTAGAACCTCAGTAGGTCTTGGACAGACTGGGGGAAAAAAATGTAGAACAAAAAAATCAAATCACAAAAAAGACGACTTATTGATGTGACAGACTGGAGGAAACCCTGAAATTACGGCCCTCAAATATACTTCTGACCTGGAACTGAAGCCATCCCCAAAGACCACCTTTCAGCCAAACAGTTGTTGTTGTTGTTGCTAAGTGACAGTTGAGTCAGTTCCGACTCATAGCAACCCTGTGTAGGGTTTCCCAGGAGCAGCTGCTAGTGAATCTGAACCACCGACCTTGTGGTTCAAATCAACCTTGTGGTCCAGTGCTTTATCCCACAGCACCACACCAGGACTCCAGCCAAACAACAGACAGACCCATAAAATAATTGCACCGGAGAGGAGCCTGTTCCTTAGAAAAATCAATTATATGAGATCAAAAGGACAATGTTTGCCCAAAAGCAAAGATGAGAAGACAGGAAGGGGTTGAAAATCTGGATGAAAGGAAAGAGGAACCAGGGAGAAATGGGGAGGGAGTGTTGACACATGTGAGGTATGCAGCCAGTGTCATGGACACTTCATGTGGAAATTACTGAATGGGAAATGAATTTGCTCTGTAAAGGTTCACCTAAAGCACAATCAAAACTTAAAATGAAACCTGAGTAGAGTGGGAAAGACCTAGGGAGAAGATAGGCACTGTTCCTGCTATGGATTTCTAAAGACCACACATTTGTCCCCTCTTCAGAGTCTGAGAAAAGGTTGGAAACTCTGGTGGTATAAAGACCATGGAAAGTCCTAAGTATAACTGGGGGCAGGAGGGTGGCTGGGTGGGAAGCTGGAGGAAGGACATTGTGTTCCACCAAGGCAGGGCAATAGGGTGACATCAAGCTGCTCTTGGGGTGGCTGAGTCGACAGCCCCGGCAGCAGAAAGGTGTTCCAGGCATTCCGGAGTGTGTGCCCAGAGCTGGCAAAGGAGAGTGCACAGTGGAGGGTAAGGCAGGACAACACGGAGAGAGCTAGAATGGTAACAGCAAGGCATTCACCCTTCCCAAGGGGCAGCCTAAGTGTCTTCTTCTGCAAGATGAAGTCATAACGCTTACTCCATGGAGATATCACGAAGATTAATATTAGACCACTAACATTAGACCAGTCCCCAAGAGGCCTTGAAAGCTCCTCTTCTTCCTGTTATGGTATGCAGTATCTGGGACCTTCTCTTTCTCAGGTGGGTGGGAATGAGAGATCAGAAGTCCCACCCTAGTAGAATGTCTAGCATGGAGAGGACAGCCTGCACTGTGCTGGAGCCAGCCAAAAGGCCGTCATTTCTGCCATCCTTATATTCTATGTATACAGTGACCTATTCCAAGAGAAGCTTCACATCTAGGGAGATCCATGCTGACCTCTCAGCTGTCCTTTCCCTAAACCCCAGTCAGTCAGCCCCTTTTGAGGTAAGGATACAAACTATGAGACAGATCTAGAACCTACCCACTACTTGTTCCAAACAAAATACTGCTGTGTCCCTGGCTTAGTGCTATGATTATAGTGAGGTGAGGAAGGTACTTGCCTGGGAGGCAAAATTTCAGAAATACCCCAAGCAATCAAGATAATTAATATATTAATATAATATTTTATACAAATCAAAATAAATGCCCCCAAATCCATGATGAACAAAATCAAAATAAATGCCCCAAATCCATGATGTCAAAAATGTAAACATAACATACCACACTGGATCCTGAGGCAATATAAAAAGTGTGCACTCTTATATACATATTTATGTGTGGTTTTTAATTTTTTTTTTTTCTCATTGAATTTAGTTTTAATGGGTCTCAAAATTCTGTGACAAATTTTTGTCAAGTTGTTCCAATTTTTAAAGTCCTCATTTAAAAAACTAATAACTTAAAACTGCCACACACATGAGAAGCAAACGGTCCACATACCATTCCTTTCCTTCTGAAGGTTTCACAATGCATTGCTATCATGAGCCAGTCTTTTACAATTAAACATAAATGGCAAATAGAGATGAACAGTTTTGATACCGTTCTACTACTACTGATTAAGACTAGAGTTATTGTTGTTGTTCACTGCCTTCGAGTCGATTCCAACGCCTAGCAACCCTGTACAGTGTTTCCAAGGAGTGACTGGTGAGTTTGAACTGCCGACCCTGTGATTCAAACCAACCTTGTGGTCGAGTGCTTACTCTACAAGCGCCACACCAGGACTTCAAGACTGGAGTGGCAGGTGTTTAAGATAATTTTCATTTAGCCTTCTAGAAGAAGATTTTGAAAAACCTTTATTGGTGAGTTTGCTTCCATCACAGCCAGGAAAGTTAAATTATAATTATGTTTTTGGTATAAATAAGATAATTGAACTTAAAATAATGCTGTAAATTTAGATACCTACTTTTCAATTGTTCAATTTTTTTTTGCAATTGCTCAATAATTATTCAACTACTTTAATGTTCTGGCCGAAAAAAAAAAGAAAAAAGATCTTCTGATTATGGGGAGACAGAGTAGATATACTTTTCCCTAAACTCTCAATGAAAATCTCTGGACATAATATAAAAAAACAAGCATAAGACTCCAAAAGGTAAAAGGGTATTGACTAAGGATCTTAGAATTCAAGGAACAGCACAATGGTGAGTTTTCTGGGTTTCTTTTTGCCTCATATAATACTGAAGAAGCCAAGAACCAGAAATGCCAAAGGACACACACACACACACACACAAAAACCAACCCAAAAGTCTATTCTCTAGCCAAAGGACAAGGAAAAGGGCAGATAGAAAACTTTTAAACAATTGTTCTAATTCAGCCAAACGCTGGAGAAAAACAAAACAAAGCAAAGCTGTGGTCAACCCCCACAGTGCTGTTGTTATGTTCTGTGGACATAGTGGACCCTGTACAGGGTTTCCAAGGATGTAAATCTTTACAGGAGCAGAAAGCCTCATCTTTCTACCGTGGAACAGCTAGTAGTTTCGAACTGGACCCATAGCGACCCTGTACAGGGTTTCCGAGGGTGTAAATCTTTACGGGAGTAGAAAGCCTCATCTTTCTCCCGTGGAGCGGCTGGTAGTTTCGAACCGCTGACCTTAAGGTTTGCAGCCCGATTCGTAACCACTACGCTACCAGAGCTCCTTAAACAACTGAGTAGGGAGCCTAAATATTCTTCTTACCATGCTGTGATGAGGCATTCTATTCCCCCCACCCACTCTGGGTAGTGTCACAGAAGAGAGCCAGGGCTCCTGTCCCCTCCAAGTTTAATGAGAACTGCTCCTAGCACCCACAGTGTTAGGAGCCTTAGCTTCCACCCCAACTCAGCAGTGAGTAAGGAACTCAGCCATACAGTGGTTAAATGCTCAACTGCCAACTAAAAGGTCAGCAGTTGAAAATCATCAGCTGCTCTGCTGGGAGAAAATGTGGCAGTCTGCTTCTGTAAAGACTACGGCCTTGAAAACCCTGTGGGCAGTTTTTCAGTCTGATGGGTTTGCTTTGAGTCAGAATCAACTCTATGAGACAGTGGATTTGGTTTATTGGGTTTAGCTGTGGATGCCTCTCCCCCTCCCACATGGGTGGTGTCAGAAGAGGGCAAGTAGAGAGTCGGAACTTTCACCACTGCCCACCCGTAAGGAGACCCTCCCCTCTTAGACATGTGATATCAGTAGTATGTTGCAGTGAATTAATATTGTCTTCTAGCCTTAATTTTTGTAACTCCCACCAAACAACCTTTTTCCTGATGGGTCCTGGGTAAGAGAAGGTGGGATGGATGACATGATTCCCCTGTGGATATTAAGAGTTAATTGTAATTGTGAAAACTGGGAACTCTTACGTGGGTTTAACATGAGCCATCTCACAAGCAGGAGCAGGGGTCTCACTGCCATCATAGAAGAGCCAGGAATGGAGCATGTCCTTTGGACCCTGAGATCCTTGTGCGTTGAACCTCCTTAACCCAGGGACAGAAAGCTGTGACACTGGAGGAGCGGCAGAGGAATGACTGCAGCTAAACCAAGAGCCAGAGCATGAGGCAGAGCAGTGGGCTTCCCACCCCACTAAGCAAATAAAGCTGAGTGACTTTGGGCAGGAGACTTGCTTGTAGAGGGGGTGCCTCCGGGTACTTAATTGGAGGATCTAGGTTTGCTGACCCATGGAGCTAGAGCTGAGTGCCTTCAGACTGAGGCTGATGATGGACTGGTGAGTCCGGTGGACATTTATCAGCAGCCCTCAAAGAGCCTTGTAACATTGCCAGGGCAAAGAGAGGCCTGCCTGTGGGCATCTAAGGAGACTGTCTTGACTGCAACAACTGTGCCCTGAGCATTTCTGGTCCTGTTAACATCCCTAGTAAACCCTGCCACTAGGAGTAGAGTGCCTGAGTTCTGTGTGACCAGTGCAATGAATTACCAAACCCAGTTGGTTACATATGTTGTGGGAGGGGTGATTGGTGTCATATTGTTTAAAGCGGGGAACAGTAATGAGACACTCCTGTCCCTTCCAGTCAGGAGCTGTCCATAGTGGTCTAGTGGGGAACCAGAGCCCCCTCCTCCACCCAGCACTCTCATCAGTTGTAAATGGAGGCAACCAGGAGGCAGTGTGTCCCCTTTTCTGCAGGCATGATGTCAGAGAAAGGCGCTACAACAGAGGTTGAAGTAAGACCCAGAGTCTCACACCATAATATGTACAGGTTTCAATACAAACAAACCATTCTTGAATGGCAGCTACACAACACGATTAATAGAATTGAAATCACTAAGTTGTACAAATGTTGTGCTAAATATATATATTTTATAGCAATTAAAGAAGATTCGTTCTCATACTAGAAATCACAAAGATCTCAAACCGAATGAAATAAAGACAATAGATGGCAACACTAAAACGCCAGATGTTTAAAGCAGTCATTGTAACAATGCATCAACAAAGATGGATGCACTCATATGGGAAAAAATAGAGCTTCTAAAAAAAATTACATATATATATATACATATCAGCAAACATTGCGGAGAATGAGTATTGCAGAACACTTAATTGTGCTCATGAAGAACTGTACATAGACCAAGAGGCAGTTGTTCAAATTGAACAATGGAACACCAAATGGTTTAAAGTTAGGAAAGGTGTGGAACAGGGTTGTATTCTTTCACTATATTTATTCAATCTGTATGCTAAGCATATAATCCAAGAAGCTGAATTATATGAAGAAAAATGTGGCATCAGGATTGGAGGAAGGCTCATTAACAATCTGCGATATGCAGATGATACCTTGCTTGCTGAAAGCGAAGAAGACTAAAAATATTTACTGATGAAAAAAAAAAATTTACTGATGAAAGTCAAAGACCACAGCCTTCAGAATGGGTTGCATTTCAATGTAAAGAAGAAAAAATCCTCACCATTGGGCCAATAAACAACACCCATATAAATGGAGAAAAGATTGAAGTTGTCAAGGACTTCATTTTGCCCAGATCAACCAACAACACTCATGGAAGCAGCAGTCAAGAAATCAAATGATGTATTGCCTTAGGCAAATCTGCTGTCCAAGTTCTCTTTAAAGTGTTCAAGAGCAAAGATGTCAGTCTAAGAACTAAGATGTGCCTGATCCAAGCCATTATATTTTCAATGACTTCATATGTACGTGAAAGTTGGGCAGTGAATAAGAAAGATTGTAGAAGAATTGATGCATTTGATTTGTGGTGTTGGAGGAGAATATTAAAAAGTACTATGGGCTGTCAAAAGAAGAAACCAATCTGTGTTGGAAGAAGTGCAGCCAGAATGCTCCTTGGAAGCCAGGATGGCCAGACTTCATCTCTCATACTTGGGACACATTATCAGGAAGGACCAGTTACTGGAGAAGGATATCATGTTTGGTAAAGTGAAGGGTCAGAGGAAAACAAGAAGACAGCCAACAAGATGGATTAGCACAGTAGGGCAGCTTTGCAACAATTGTGAGATTGGCTCAGGACCGGGTAGTGTTTTGTTCTGTTGTGCTGAGGGATGCTATAAATTGATGCCGACTCGATAGCTTCTAATAACAACAACCATCAGCAGGGAAACAGAAGATACATTAAAGAGACAAATGGAAACTTAAGCACTGAAAACTATGATAATCAAAATTTTAACTCTTAATGAATGGGCTCAAGAGCAGAATGCAGGGGACAAATGAAAGAAACAATGAACTGGAAGATAGAAAACTAGCAAAGACTATCCAAAAAAAGGAGATGAAAAAGATCAGCACCTCAGGGTTCTGTAGGGTTATAACAAAGGATCGAGCATTTGTACCATCAGGATCTCCAAATGAGTGGAAGAAGGGGGTGGGAACTGAAAAAGTATTCAAAGAAATAACAGCTGAAAACCCTCCAAATTTGGCAAAGGACAGAAACCTACAGATTTAAGGAGGTGAGTGAACTTCAAACACAGTAAACCCAAAGAAATCCACACTAAGACACGTCAGAGTCAAACTTTTGAAAACTAACAACCATTGGAAAAATCTTAAAAGTATGGAGAGAGAAATATAACACTTTTACAACAGAGGAAAAATGCTCTGAATGACAACAGGTTTCTAAGGAAAAACCAGAAGGAAGTGGTTTGTTTTTCAAATGCTGAAAGAGAAAATAAGAACTCTCAACCAGAACCCTATGTCCAGTGAAAACATTCTTCAGGAATGGAGAAGAAATCAAGACATTCTCATATGAACGAAGGCTTGTTGTCAGCAGACCTACCCTATAAGAATTACTAAGGGAAGGTCTCTCAACAAAAAAGAAACGAGGAAGAGGGGGGTGGCTATAAAAGGGAAATGTGAGGGACCCTTGTGGGGATGAAATTGCTCCGTTTTTAGGTGCTATCCAGTGGGTTCCGACTCATAGCGACCCCATGAACGGATTCTGAGGCTGTAAATTTTTATGGGAACAGAAAAGCTCATCTTTCTCCTGAAGAGCTGCTGGTGGATTTGAACTGCGATCCATCTTGACTGTATCAGGGTCTATGTCCTGGTGGAGATGTTGCACTATAGCTTTATAAGATGTTACCACTGGGGAAAATCGAATGGAAGGTACATGGATCTGTCTGTATTCTTACAATTTGTATAGGAATCTACAATTATCTCAAAATAAAAAGTTTAATTTTAAAAAATAGATAAAACCATGTATATAAAGTTACATTGGAGCCCTGGTGTGGCACTGTGGCTTAATGCACTGGACTGTAAGGTCAGTTTGAACCGCAAGATCGGCAGTTCAAGCTCACCAGCTGCTCCTTGGAAACTGTATACAAACTCCCTATATGGAACAACAATAACAACATAGTGTTACATGTTTTCTTTTTGTCTTTGGCTTCATCGTGGCTCAGCACCACTCTGCCTGAGACATGGCAGATTCTTGACATCTTAGGTTCTTCTCCCTATCTTGCCTAGCACAGAACTGGAGTGCACAGTCTAAGCATAGAAGAGACTGTTTAAAGACAGGAGTGTCCCCAGCTACTCCCATTAGTCTATTTTTCAGGATCTGTCCACAATGAAGCTGATGCCAGGGAGATTACTTACGTCACAGCCACCCAGCATGGTTCTTTCAGTGCCTATTCCTGGACCCCACTCCCGATCTGAAACAGTAGACTTTTAACTAGCTCCTCAAGTGAGTTCTCATGCACACTTAGGTATGAGAACAGTAGAGCTTAACTTTGTCTAAAGTCAGTGTTTTCTGGGGAGGCTCAAGAAGTTCCTATGCTGGAAAGGATATTCTGAGAGAGAAGGGACTGAGTGGGACCCTGTGCCAGCCCTGACTCCTGCTCCAATGAGGGCACAGTCCCCCGCATCACATACACACACACAGAGCCCTGGGCCGCGAGCTCACCGCACTGTTTGGCTCAATGAGTCGGTGCTGCAACTTCTGGGCATCTTCCCATTGCCCTGTGAGACAGAGTCGCTCCAGCTGGCACACCTGGGCCCCTAGGACATTGGCCAGGGCACACACACCCCCCACAGCACCTGCCCCAGAGGAAGTAAAATACAAAACATCAACAGAGTGTCTTCTTCCAGAGAATGCAGAGTCCCTGGCCCCCTGGCCCCCACTGTGGGGAGATAGCATGTGTTTTCTGTGGTGCCATTGGCTATGTCAAAGGCAAGCTCTGTGAGTCCACACAGGGTACAGATGTCCAGGGAGGGACACTGACTGCGTGGACCCCACACCCTGAATGCTGCTCAGCATTCCTCTGTGAGGGACAGCGAGTGGAGTCAGCTCTTTCCCTGCTCCCTGGGCAAGTCTCCTGCCAGTTCACACCTCCAGTTCACACCTCCAGTAGTCCTCCAAGGCAGTGGTGCGTGGATGGACAGCCTCAGCTCTTGTGAAATCTCATCCCTCCCCACTGCCTAGAGAATCTATCATGAGACAGTGCTGGGCTGGGGGCTGGAAAGAGCTCTGGACACAGAGTCAGGAGAGATCTGACACTTCGTTGCATTGGCTCTGTGAACTTGGCCACATCACAGACCCTCCCGGGTCCTCTTTGTTCTTATCTGGGCAACGCAAATGTGTTGGCTGTGATCTCAGAAGGGTCTGCCACTTCTGCCAGGCTGGAGGCATACTTCTAAGTCTTCTTAGGGATGACCCAGGGCATAGTACCCATAAGGCTGGAGAGGGAAAGAGCAGGTAATTTGGAATGAATGATATATATATATATATATATATATATATATATATATATATAGCTGCCCTTTACTGACTACCTGCTATGTGGCACAGTGAGTTAAACGTTGGGCTATTAACCACAAGGTCAGCAGTTCAAACCCACAGCTGCCAGGACTGTTTGTTCTCGTAAACCCTGACACATTCATACTCTCTACTACAGGGTCACTGTGAGTCAAGAATTGATCCGAGGGCAGTGGGTTTACTATGTGCCAGGCACAGTGATACTATCCCAGGAGCTGTCTAGTCCTCACATCACCATCCTGCATTATGGAACAAAAACAGGTCCAGAGAAGTTGAGTCTTGCCCCGAATTACTCAGCAAATAAATGGTAGGGTTGAGATTCCAGCTCAGATCTGCCAGCCTCCATCCACAGCACTTAGGAATGGGGTAGAAATGGTCCTCTCTTCTTCCCCCGCTCTTTACAGTCATGGCATGGCAGAGACAGGTGTGTTGGGGTTTAGACAGCAAGCCACAGTCGGCAGAGGATGCAGAGGAAGGGACCAATACTCTCCTGGGCAGCACTAGGAAGTCACTCAAGTCTGCTCTCTGGGGGCTACAGCTAACAGGAGCAGACACTGCCTGCCCTACTCTTCAGGGCTCAGATCCAACCTGAACCCAAGCCCTGCCCAAAACAGACAAGAGAAGTTGATTTACTAGGGACATTCCTGTTACCCTGGCCTAGAACAGAATCTGATCAGCTGAGATGCCTGCCTCAACACTGCAACTTCATTCAGATAGGTCTGTTCTGAGGTCAGGGAGTGGGAGGGAAGGACATGGACTTCTGGACTAGAGGGGGAGGAGCCCAAGGTCTCCGCCTTCATAGAATCATTTACAAAGTGAGATTGTTGTTGGGTGCCGTTAGTCGATTGTGACTCAAAGTGACCCTGTGGGACAGCATAGACTTGTCCCTCGGGTTTCCTAGGGTGTCATCTTTGCAGGAGCACATCTCTCGGTCTTTTCTCCTGCAGAGCAGATGGTGGGTTTGAGCCTTTCGGTTAGCAGTCAAGCGCTTAACCACTGTGTCACCAAGGCTCCCTAAGGTGAGATTGTTGTTGTGAGGTACCGTTGAGTTGGTTCCAAATCATAGTGACCCTATGTACAACAGATGGAAACACTGCCCAGTCCTGCACCATCCTTACAATTGTTCCTGTTCGAGCCTCTTGTGGCAGACAGTGTGTCAATCCATCTCATTCAGAGTCTAAGTACGTAAGACAAAGTCTCACCATCCTTTCTTCTAAAGGAACATTCTGGCAGTACTTCTTCCAAGGTGTGATTCAAATAACAATAACAACAAACACCCACTGCTGTCTAGCTGATCTAGAAGAGAGTAGAACTGCTCCACAGAGTTCTTGAGTTTGTAAACGTTTCGAGTCCTGGTGTGGTGTTGTCAGGTCAGTGTAGTTGTTGCTTAGTACCACTGACTGATACGGATGCGGTTTCTGAGGAGCAGCTGGTGGGCCTACAGTGCCACACCTGGACTCCTTAGGATAAGTACCGGACTGCCAACCACAGGGCTGGCTGTTTAAACCCACCATCCACTTCTTGGAAACCCTATACAGGGTGTCTGTGAATTGGAACCAACTTGAAGGCATTTAACAACAACAACAGAAACTTTACAGAAGTAGATGGCCTCCTCTTTCTGCCTCAGAGCAGCTGGTGGGGTTCTACCTTTTGGTTAGTAGCCCAATACTTAACCCACTGCATCATCAGGGCTTTTAGGGAGGGAGCTCGAGACTAAGAACAAACTGCAGTCATCCCTACGATATACCACTGTACAGACACCACTCTTCTCCACCATGTCCATGAAGGTCACTCACAGTACCCAGTATTCAGAAAGACAAGTGGTGTTGGCCAGATTCCTGTGGTTTCAGAGTAGGCAGGCTTTGTAGCCCCAGCCCCAGTTCTCAGGGTCTCTTCCAGCAGACCCCAGCATCCTGGCATAACTCCATCTCCCATCACAGTTTGAGAGCAGTCGGCAGCCTACCCAAGGCATAGCTGGCCAGTAGGAAGCTAGCTGACCCAGCCAACACCCGGAAATCCTGGCTCCTGGTCTTGTGAACAATCAGTCCGATCCTGGTCACCTGCAAGAATAAACACAGAGTGAGTGCTGGGGTCCAGGCTCCAGCTGCCAGCCAGAAGCTAGGACTGGAGAAGTGTTGTCGGAGGAGAGCCCTGGGTCCTAATCAATACTCCCAATAATTCAGACAAAGCCCTGGAGAGCCCAAGGATCGAGAGAACCCGGACAGGTGCCCAGGATGGAAGCAGGTCCCAGAACTACCCTGACTTTGGTGGTAAAAATGTTCAAGTCTGGAGAAGTGTCCACTCACATCACCACCGCTGTCCTTGAGGCCCACAATATTTGGGTGCTGGGACAATGTGACCACTGCGTCCACAGGCAGATCCAGCCCTGTGTTGGCTGGGACACTGTACAATACCACGGGGATTGGGGAGAGGTCAGCAACCTAAGGGGGCAGAGACAAAGGGGAGATAGAAGCTGCCCAGGCCTTCGGAGCCCAAGCAACTTCCCGCTACCAAAAAGGGTCTGGCCTGGGTCACTGGACAGGCCTCTGCCTACCTGGAAGTCACCAGTGCTATGGACGCGGATTATAAGCAGTCATTTTTACTGAGGGTTTTCTATGTGCCAGGCCCCATGCTAAGCCCTTTATGCTGAAGATCTCATTTCTTTTTGGTGTGTGTCTCGAATCAGTTCGGCCTCACAGTGACCCTATATAGGGTTTCTGAGGAGTGACTGGTGGGTTTGGACCACGGATCTCTTGGTTAGCAATACAGTGCTTATCCTACAGTGCCACACCAGGATTTGGTGATCTCATTTGATCCTCACAATAAACGTATGACAAAGATATATCATTCCTCCCATTTTGTTGTTAAGTGCTGTCGAGTTGGTATGGACTCAGCAATGCTGTATAAGGTTTCCAAGGAGCGCTAGTGAGTTCGAGCCACTGGCCTTGTGGCTCACACTGACCTTGCGGTCCAGTGCTTTATCCCACAACAAGGGGAACAGCAACACAAACTGGTTAGGCAAGTTGCCTAGTGGCACCCAGTGATACATGGTAGCACTCCATTCACGTCTTACAGCGGATAGTCATGTGAAGTAGGCTCACCACTAAGGAACCCAGGTGGCACAAGTGTTAAGAGCTCAGGATCAACTGCAAACCAAAATGTTGGAAATTCAAACACACCAGTGGCTCCACGGAAGGAAAGACCTAAAGATCTGCTCCCGTAAAGATATCCATCCCAAGTCGTTATGAGTTATTATCAACTCAGCGACACTACATGCCAGCAAGGCTCACCACCCACCCTCTGATCCTTTTCTAACCCCCAGCATTGTCTCACTTCACCCAGTTTTCTCTCAGGCCCTGCCTCAAACCCATGCCCACCTGTCATGCCCACCTTGGTGTAGTGGTGAATGAGGGCAGCACTGCTCATGCGGCCACGGTAGTAGCAAGGGGTCACCACCAAGGCAGCATCTGCCCCGACTTGGGCCATGCTCACGGTCATCTCCACTGTGGCTTGAGTGGCTGCAGGAGGAAAGAGGGAGTCTTCCCTTTGGGTCATGGAGGACAAGAGCAGGAGATAAAGGCCTGGGGTAGGACTCTGGGGCCAACAAAGGGTACCAGGCTTGTTTCAGACAAGGAGGAGCAAGTAAACTGAACCCAACTCGCAGGGTCAAGGAGCATGACCACCCCCCTTCAGCCATTCCCAGGGCCCTGGGCATTACGGCCTCACACTCGCAGCCGGAGCCAGCGAGCAGGAGCTTGTCCTTGGGCATGGCCTGGCGTACGCGGCTCACCACCTCCAGGCGCTCGCTGCTGGTCAGGAAGGGGAACTCGCCATTGGAACCCTGGACCACGAAGCCTGCAACACAGGTCCCATCACATGCAGTGAACAACAGGACACTGGCATTCCCCTCCCCAGGTTCCTGCCTACCTAACTCCACAGCTGCTTGGCGCATTTCCTTCCTGACAAAGTCAGATGCATTCTCACCCATCAGCAGTGGGTGTTTTCAAATCATTTTAGTTTCAATGAAATGTTTTAAACATACCAAAAAGAATAACAATAGAATCTACATTGGTGTACCAGGACCCAAGGCAGCCTTCTCTTTCCTCTTTGATCTGTCTTAACACTGGCATTTATTATTGTCATTTATGTCTGTATACCTGGGAAGACATGCATGGGAACCCAGGAGCAAGATATAGTTTAGTCTGGGCAATTTTAAACTTCATGTAAAGGGATCATTGCCAGTGAGTCACTCCTGACTCGTGGTGAGCTCATGTGTATCAGAAGAGAACAGCGCTTCATATGGTTTTCAGTAGCCAATTATAAAGAAGTAGATCATCAGGTCTTTTGCCAGAGATGCCTCTGGGTGAACTTGAACCTCTAAGTTTTGGTTAGTAGCTGAGTGCATGAACTGTTTGTACCACTCAGGGACTTCCAAATTTATATAACCGTGTACAATTCGCTGGTTTTGCTCAACATTGTTTTAGCTTTATCAATAGCAGTACATGTAGCTCCGAGCCATTCATTTTTAGTTGTTGCATATTATTCTGTTGTATGCTTTGTTGTTGTTGCTAAATGCCGTCAAGTCGATTCTGACCCATAGCGACCCCATATAGGGTTTCCAAGGAGCAGCTGGTGAGCTTGAACCACCGACCTTGTTGTTCAAAGTGACTTTGCAGTCCAGTCCATTAACCCACTGCACCACACCAGGATGCTGGTTTATTTTTCATTCTCCTGGAGACATTTAGAATGTTTCATTCTTTTTGCTATCCCAAGCAATGCTGAAACAAGCATTTTCTGTAACATCTCCTGTGGACATGCACAAAAATTTCCCGAGAGTGAAAATACTGGGTGTGCAACTGTTGATTGTATGTGAATGCGTCTTCATGTGTGCCAAATGTCTCTCTAATTAACCAGTGTGCACCCCATCAACAGCACAAAAGAGCCTGTTAGTGTTCATCCGTGCCAACACTTGGTATTGTCAGACAAATTTTCGACAATTTGCTGGGTGAAAAATTGTTTTACTTTGCATTTTCCTGTTTTCTTTGAGAGGTTTTTAACATGTACCAGTTACAGATGTCAACCTTTTTATATCCATAAAAGACCAAGAGAACTGATGCTCCTCTGATGGATAACAAAGGAATGTGAGCCATAAAGTCATTTTCTCTCAACTTTTTAAAATTTGATTTTCTTTCCTCTTCTTTTCTTCCTCCCCTCCCCACTCCATTCCAACCCACCCTCCTCCACCCCCTAAAAAAGGGAAGTAGTTTACAAATACAGTATGAAGTTAGCTGCCACGAGTTGTCCCCAACTCATGGTGATTCCACACACAACCAAATGAAATATCACTCAGTTCTACACCACTCCCGCGGTTGTGGATTGGACCATTGTGGTCCATACATAGGGCAGCATGCAAGGTTATCAATACACAGTAAGATATCTGGGAGAAAGGGAGAAGACAAACAAGCCAGGAGCAATGTTGGTATCCAAATTCCTGACATACAGTTGTGAGGAAGGGCCATAAATTTGACTTGGAGCTTCCTGACAGTCAAAGCTAAAAAGGAAACATGGTCAGCTTACTGGTATGTAAATCCAAAAGATAAAAGCAAAACAGCTGCCCTGGACAAGCCATTTCCTGGCAGTGGGACCAAGAGAAATTGTTCCCATGAGTCATCCTTGAGGGGACATAGTGTGATGTAGACTCAACTTTATACCACAAATCTTTTCCCATGCTGTTAACTACACAATTAGATTCCACTGGGTGGATTGCCAGAATCTGGACATTTAGCAATTTCCTCCCCCTTTTTTTTTGGACTTTGTTAACATTGCACGGACCATCTGGAGGAAAATAGCTCTTGACTTCTATTGGATTGCCCTGTGAAGATCCATTTCTCTGTGTGGGGATAGGAGCCTTTCTATACCCTATACCCTATATCCTATACCCTATACATGGGGCCCCAGTCCTTACCAATGGGTCAGACCATTTGCAGAGCTGCCAGCCTTGGTTGAGGGCCTGTGAATCCATCCAAACAGTCAGGGCAACACTAAGTGTTTAGGGTTCAAATTCTTGCCACTTTTCCTACTCAAATGCCAAAGACATCTTCCTCCCCACTCCTACTGCTTTGCCTATTCCTTCATTTTTCATTTTCTTGTTTTGTTAATCATTTGAGAGTTTTCTATTATGAACCAGCTACAGATGTCAACCCTTATATCCATGAGAAGCCAAAGGAAGAAGTAGAACATTGTCTTTGTGAACAATGTCTCTGAGATTATGGTCCTGTGTTGCCAGCCCCTACAAATCATTCCTTCAAGGTGTGTATGTCTAAGTTTTCATCACTTTGCCCCTGTATGCTCCACTACATTCATGGACATGTTTTCATTCTTTGATGGTTACCAGGGATGGGAGGGAAGGGGCAGTAATTTACTGACTAGAGGGTAGACACTTGTTAACTTGGGTAATGAAAAAGGCAATATATAACAAAAGGGAGGTTGGCAGAAGAAAAATGAAGGTGGAGGAAGACATGGGGAAGAGTGTGCTAGAGTTAGAGGAAATAGAGGTGAACACTGTTCTATACAGAATCCTGCAATAATCGTGATCTACAGATAGATACTCAGGCTGAATGGTATGAGAAGGAAAGTGGGAGCATACCTACCAATTACAGAAATTTGACAGAGGGTATTTGTACATGGGTGTTGACCTTTGGTACAAACATATCCACGAATGTGGTAAAGCATACAGGGGGCAAGATTATGAAAACTTCTTAGACATTACCCAGCACCTTAAGGGGAGAAGTTTCTGGGTTTGGGGGCTCAGGACCAGAGGGACTCCATGGTTGATTGGCATAGCACACTTCACAAACACAATGGTCTCCTCCATCCTAATTTGGTGAGTAAGCAGCATCTGGGATTTTAAAAGTTCATGAGCAGCCATCTAAGGTGCAACTATTGGTCTCTCGCTGTTCTTAGGGAAGAAGAGTGATGAAAATTGAAGACATTTGTAAACAATTAGGTCAATGGACTAATGGAACATGTGAATATCGGTCTCCATGACTCTTGAGATCAGGTGAACTAAATGGTGCCTAGCTACCACTACCAACTACTCTGAAAGAGTTCACATTAGAAGGTCCTGAATAGTGTTGGAAAGATGTAAGAGAAAATTCAAAATAATAAAAAAGACCAGGATACAAAATCATTAAAAAGTCAGGAGGAGACTGGAAGAATCCCCAGACTATGGCTCTTGGTGACCCTTCAGGTTTGGAACTAAACTTACCCTCATGGTTCTGGTTCAACTTTCAGTCATCAGTGTGTACTAATGAAGGACATACACCATAGGATGGTTAACCACTCAAAGTCAAAAGTGCAACATTTACCTAAGGACAGCATTGAGAAGTGTTGGGAAAGAAAAAGGAATGGAAATAAGAATCGAAGAAGTGAGATAAGGAATGTTACATTGAGGAGATTGCAATTGTTAAGATGAAACGAAGTATATGATTTGTCGAATATAAAACTGATGATCTGCTCTGTAAACTTCTCAATTCACAATGAAAAGTTTAAAAACTTTAACAAAAAAATTTTTTTTAAGGTACTCTAATGCAAGGAAAGGAGCTCTGGTAGCGTAGTGGTTACAAATTGGGCTGTGAATCGCAGTTGGAAACTACCAGCTGTTCTGCGGGAGAAAGATGAAGCTTTCTGCTCCTGTAAAGCCTCGGAAACCCTGTACAGAGTCGCTATGAGTCGGAACTGACTCCAAGGCACATAACCACCACCACCAATGCAAGGAAGACCCCCAATGAGATAGACTGGTACAGTGGCAACAGCCATGGGCTTAGGTGAAGCAATGATTGTGACGTTGGCCCAGGACTTGGCAGTGTTTTGTTCTGTTGTGCACAGAGTCGCTATGAGTCGGTATCGACTCGAAGGCACCTAACCACAACAATGAGATTAACGCTATAGGATAAGCACTGGACTGCTAACCATAAGGTCAGTGGTTCAAAGCCACCAGTCACTCCTTAGAAACTCTCTACAGGGTCACTATGAGTCAGAACCGACTCAACGGCACTTAACAACAACGGGCGTGTATCACTGAGAGAACTTGTCTGCAGCCATCCACTGGTTTCAGGGGCATGTTGAAACATTTTGTTGGGAATAAACCTCTGATTATATAAACAGGAACTCTGGTAGCAATATATTTTTACTTACCCTCATATATGTGTGTGTGTATACATGTTTCTAAGGGCAGTTCAAAAAGTTCATGAAAAATGAAAATAAAAAATAATGGAATTTTTCCACAAACTTTTTAAAGTTCCTTTGTATAATATATATGTATACATGTGCGTGTAATACATATCTTTTTTCATGAGTTTTTTGAAGCCCCTTCAGACCACCACTCGTCCATCAGTCTGTTGTACTGTGGTGGCCTGCATGTTGCTGGGATGCTGGAAGCTATGCCACCAGTATTTTAAATACCAGCAGGGTCACCCATGGTGGACAGGCTTCAGCTGAGCTTCCAGAATAAAACACACTAGGAAGAAGGAGATAGAGACTACATCCAAATATATAGTCACCGAAAACCTTATGAATAGCAGTGGAACACTGTCAGCACCAGAATACTAAATACTGTAATATGATGAAGAGCACCAGAATATTGCCAGATAAAAATGCTGGAAAATGAGTCCCTCAGGTTGGAAGGCACTCAAAAAACATGACTGGGGAAGAGCTGCCTTGTCAAAGTAGAGTTGGCCATGATGATACAAGTAGAGAAAAGCTTTTGGGACCTTCATTTGCTGATGGGACACAACTCAAAATGAGGAGCTACAGCTGTGAACACCCATTAGTAATCAGAACATGGAATGTATGAAGTATGAGTTTAGGAAAATTGGAAGTTATCAAAAATAAAATGGAACACATAAGTATAGATATTCTAGGCATTACTGAGCTGAAATGGACTGGTATTGGCCATTTTGAATCTGACAATCACATGGTTTACTATGCCAGCAATGACAGATTGAAGAGGAATGGTGTGGCATTCATCACCAAAAAGAACATTTCAAGATCTTAAAGTACAATTCTGTCTGTGATAGGATAATATCCATATGCCTACAGCAAATATTAAGGTATTTGCAATGAAGATGTTAGTGATCTTGCAAAATTCTATCATGTAATCTGCATCATCGTTTCTATCACTAAGACCATTATTTTCCAGCTACTGATTCTTCCTCTTTGTGTCCAACCTCTGCATTCCAATCGCCAGTAACTATCAATACATCTTGATTACATGTTTGATCAATTTTAGGCTGAAGAAGCCAGTCATCGCTGACTTTAGTGGTTGGTGTTAAATTTCAATACCTTTTTAAAACATCATAAAAGACAACTATACACATGTACCTCACTAGATGGAATACACAGTAATCAAATTGACTACATCTGTGGAAAGAGACGGTGGAAAAGCTCCATATCATCAGCCTGGGCAAGGACAGGTGCAGACTGTGGAACAGACCGTGAATTGCTCATATGCAAGTTCAGGCTGAAACTGAAGAAAATTGTCCATGAGAGCTTGTTTTATTATCTCGAGCATATCCCACCTGAATTTAGAGATCATCTTAAGAACAGATTTGATGAATTAGAAACTAATGACCGAAGACCAGAATTGCTGTGGGATGACATCAAGAACATCATCCAGGAAAGATCATCAGGAAAAACTCAAAACAAAAATGGCAGTATGAATGGCTACTACAAGAATAAGCAAGCTGTTTGCTGGGAAGCCATCAAGGCAAGCAATCAAGTTCCTTCAGGACAAACAACCCCTCTAATACTGAAACTCAAAGGGAACACATGAGCAGGTATGTAAACTTTGCTGACGACATTGGGCTACTGGTGAGTGGAAGAGGGGGAAAGGCAACAATGAAGAAATGGGCTGAGTTCAACCACGGTCCATAGACTCCCGTTGACCTGGAGATGAGAGGGAGAAGAGGAAGGGCTGGTGGGTCCAAAGTGTGGTGAGACCTGGGGACACTTGAGCCCATGGACAAGGACTTAGCACAGAGGGCTATAGCTGAGAGTGAAGTATCCAGCTGATATGAAGGGAGGGGAGATGCACAAGAACACACAAACTTGCAGACAGTACCCATTTGACCTAGCCTCAATGGCTTGATAACCAGAACGCAACACTAAAGGAAGATTAAAAAACTTTTTTTTTTTTTTTATAAAGGAAACAAGGGTAGATTGCTACAATTTGATGAACTTGACATATACTCATGGAGGTAGTAACTCTAAATACTAACAGAGAGGGAAGGAGTCTTCACATCAAGTATCAATGCTATCCCCTCTGTACACAGAGCAGACAGAGATGGGCAACTTAGACACTGGCTACCTAAAATGAGGAGGTGATAAAGGCACGAGGTGACTGGCTTACAAGGTTTCAAGAGGGAGTTTAGTTTAAGACTGTGTGGGGGAAGAATGAGTCCCCACTGAATAGTTTTCTTCTGATCTAGATGGGTCTGGTTAAAAGAGATGGGGATAAGATTCTTATGATTCAATAGTGAATAAATGTTATTATGACTAATTAATCGCGATTGCTACAATTGTAAAGGTAGAAGTTTTGTAACAAAAACAGGGGAGTAGTTAATCTTACAGTCCAGAAACAGAGGACCCAAGGACCATCAAGGGAGAAGAGCACAAGTGGAATGCGGGACCTTATCCAGAGAAGCAGTGACACCAGAGATGGAGG